TTTTGCCTTTATTGTAGTTATTATTAATTGACATTATTAATTACTGTTATTAAGTTTAGGGACTAATCTCATTTTATTACCTTCCATAATAATTATTATTTCATGTAATCTGTTATATTTGGTACATTGGCATGATTACCACTTCATTTTACATGACTATTAATGTTGGTAATTAAGTCCTACCAATGAATTTTTTTAAACGTACCATTGGACGCTGCATCGAGTTTATTGACACCAATAGTGAAGATTGGGAGAATTCTGGAGTCTTTTCTTCTCTTGTGGATCGTCATCGTTGTTAGCGCAATGGGCAGATGCGGTTTGCATCATTAAGGTTAGCCATTAATTATCTTTTATGATTATTATTGATAATTAGTGCTACAGTTACAGTTAACCGCTAATTTGGACTAGTCACATATTTTATCTTTAGAAAAATGGAAACATTTAAAAGGTGCATCACCATACTTTGATTTGTCGTTATTATTAATGTTAATAGTGATTATAATGTTACTTATTACTATTAATAATTAATAATTAATGATGACATTAATATTCTTATGGTATTCAGATGTGTACCTTGAACTGTTTCCAAATAAATTTATGTGACAATACTCCAGTTCAGAAAATAATTTTCTGGACGTTAATATTTTTTGGACTTCAAATTTTATTAAGTTTTCAAAATTTTATCCGAAAACATTTATAAGTGTTAGCGGTTTTAACCATTGTTTCTCCATATCTAGTCTCCTATTTAATGTGATAATATTATTATGGCTATTTATTGCTATTTTGATTATTTGCAATTTTGCCATTAATAATAATAATATTATCAACTGAGTTATGGAGAGTGATTTTGAATCAATTTAGTAATCTTGGAAAAACATATTTGCTACGCAATTGACTTTTGCCATTAATTTCATAATTCATTTCGTTCTTGGAATTATGATTTTAGTTCTGATTGCCCATGTTTGGTTAAGTATGAATAAATGAATATTTTGTTTAAATTCATATCCTTTAGTTGGTTCATACTCTTTAGATTGTTTTATGCATTCGATCACATTAAGTGCATAATATTAAGTTTAATTATGCAATTAGGGTTTGTGAGTTTTTGATTTACAAATGCTAGCATATCCTTTTGGTTTGATATTGTTTGAATTTGTAAATTCAGTTATTTCTCATAAATTTGATCTTTATGCATTAAAACATTTTCCCATGGGCTTACCGTTTAAAAAAATTTTAAAGTATATATCCAGTATATTATTATTCAAAATGTTCGTTCTCTTTTGGTTTGGACTCATTGGTGTTTGAATATTAAGTTTATACTTTAAAATCTCATATTGTAAATTGCTTTAAGTTATGCAATTTATTTGGAATATATGAGTTTAATGCTTAATTTTATGCATATTCGTCCTAAGCATAATATTATGTTTTAAATTATGCAATTTTATTATGCCTTTAGCAATGCATACTTTAGGATGGAATTATATTAGTTCCTATTTAAGTTGGACTTATGCATAAACTTTAGTTGCGGTAGTGCCTGAATTTAAGCACGTTTAAGCCGTTAATTTAGTTCACCATTTAAGCTTTAATCATAGGTGAATCATACAGTTTCTGGTATATACCCTACAGGTTTAGGCTCATACCCCCAAACAGTTATACATTAAGAACATCTTGAGACACTAGTCTCCTTAAATTTATACTCTATTTAAGGAATTGGTTTTCAGTGAGACTTAGTCTCTAACCACCTTTCCTGGGAGTATATTTAGATTTTCCCATCACAATCTGGTATAATCTGTTTGTCAAAATTTTAAGTATTCCTTGCCAATGTGATTTGATTTCGGTTCATTAAAGAATAGCCAAAACATCTTTAATTTACTGAAGTCTCTTAAGTTTTCAATCTTGGTTAATTAAGGAATAGCTACAGCATATTCAGCTACCTAAGATTATTAAGTTTTAATCACATAAAGTTTAGGCAAGAATTTGATAATTGTCTAGTGATCTTATAATTTTAATTTGGTTTTGGAGTAGCCACATCATCCTTAATCTGTTAAAATTATATATTAAGCGGTTTATTTTGATCACATAAAGTTTTGGACATATCATTTGTGATTAATTGTATGTAATATGATGAAATTTAGCCCACATGCAATTTCGTTATATTTGTATGATTAATCAGGATTAAATACTGGACTGCGGTCGTAATTTAGCCCACAGACAATTATGTATCGGAATGTAGTTTAGTAGTTTTATCAGTGATGATAGAAATAAATCAATTTATTTACTTTATGGTTATTTGTAAATAATTTCCAATTCTATCAAGAAGTTTAGGTTTATGATGTAAACTTTAGATCATATTTCTTAATTTGCCCACAGGGATTAAGAAAAGGAACATGACCTCTTAAGTTTGTTTTTTTTTTTTTTTTTTTTTTTTTTTTTTAAATTTTTATCATAATGGTTGTAATGAATCTTATTGAGTAAAACTTTAGCCTACAGGCAAGTTTTATATCATTTGATTCTTCAACTCATTTGATAATGGTTTCATCATAAATAACATTTTTCAGTTGGATCTAATTGAGTAAAACTTTAGCCCACAGGCAAGTTTTATGTCACTAGATTCGTCTGGCTCTTTAGTAATTGTGTAAAATATTATCATAAGGGTTTCTTAATTGGATTTAATAGAATTAAAACTTTGGCCCATAGGCAAATTTTATGTCAATAAATTCTTCGACCCATTAGATAATGATTTTATCACAATTTCTTAGAATTTATAAATTTAGCTCAATTATAATTCTAATTAAGTTTCATGGTTTGCATTGGCAAAACATGTTTTCAGTCACTTCCCAAAATTTAGTCACTTCTATTAATTAATCCACGAATCTTGCTCGGTTCTTCGGACTCACTGTAGTAAGTTACGTGATTTGACATACCTCTTGGATTCCAATAATGTTAAAATGTATCTTTGAGCCAAATTCTAACTTGGTTTTGAAAGATGTATTTTGTTTTTTTTTTTAGTATGTCCAACTATGGTGGGGAAATATATCTTCATTATTTCGTTGGACTTCAATTGGAACCAAAAATTAATTATTTAGTATGCCCAACTAATGGTGGGGAATTATATCTTCATTTGTTAGTTGGTCAAATCAATTATGAGTATGTATGTTATTATGTTCATTTATTAATTTTGCTGAAGAATATTTTAATCAGTGGGAGTGATCATTTAGAAAAAGATCATTAAGTTACTCCACTAAAGATTTTGGATTTAATTATTGTATTCATACATTCCAAATTGGGTTGTATGTCAAACAATAAGTTCAAAATATTTCGCAAGTATTAATCTTGTATTTGTTCATATAAATTCATAAGTTCAAATTATTGAACATTTGGTTGTGCAACATATTTATGAAAATGTTGCAACAATATTAAGGAATTTATTAGAACAAAAGCATTTAACTTGTGGTGCACTGTAATTTAATAAATTCTTCAGTGATTAATAGAGTCTTTAGTTTCTTCAAAATTAATCCTGGGCCATTTTGGTTTGTAAGACTCAAAACAATTTTGTGAGACATATAAGTAAGACTCATTATGTTCAGTTCATTAAAAGTGGACATTGAAGTTATTTGGGAAGTTATGGTGTATGATTAAGATTCCAAATTCATGGACTTAGACCTTTGGTTTATTATCTAAGTTATTGCAATGCTTCTGTGACTTGACTATCTTTTGGCTATTTTTGATGAGTGGGAGTGAGAGACGTGTCAACTCCAAGCTCTTAGCTGTTAGAGATAGTACTTAAAGTTAACTTATAAAGAAGTCATGGAATATAGTTATCATTATGCTAACATTAAGGGATCTCTACTTAAGGCATGCTTATAAAGTTTTAGAGATCATACAGTGTACTCTTTTGTACAATTTGGATGCGTTTTCTCCTTCAGTTGTGCACATAATGTATTTTGAGAAACATCCCTTAAGGTACCGAGAATAAACATAGGGTTTGTTCATTAAGGACCTAAGTTGGAGAATTAAAATGCATGTGATCATAATGGATACTACTCTGATTAAATAGATGACATATCACTATGATTCGTGTGTTTTGTTCTTTGATGAAGGTTGTGCTAGTACTTGCACCAAGTGGGAGAATGTAAGATTTTCCCTAATAATATATATTATATATTATATATTAAGGCCTTAATTAAGTGGTGCAAGTTGACTAGGCTTATTAAGTGGTCTGGTTGGACTTAATAACTAGTAGTTGTTAGTCAACCAAACTCTGTGCCTAATATAAACCTGGATTGATGATACAGGTTTATGGATTAGTTAGCACATTCAGTTACGATACTCAGACTGCTCAGTAGATACCAATACACAATCTAGGGTTCTGAGTCAGGTCTGAGGCAAAACATGACTAACGGTCTACCGTTAAGAGGCAACACAACAGGAACATCAACTATGGCTAGAGATCTATATGGCTACGCTTCCGCTATCATACGAGGTCAGGTTTCTTGTATATTATGGTTTATTATAGTTAGACTATTGTATATCTAACATGAAGATGACCGGAGATTATTCCATAATGCCTGCCCTTAGAAAGCGTGGGTGAATTCAGGGTAAAATTTTATTTATTCCATTTTGTTTAATCATGGAAACTAACATTTCAGAGAAAGCATTAGGACACTTTTTTCTGTTGTAGTACCTAAGGAAATAATCAAATATTACAACTGCTTCTGTTCATTATCATTAAAAAAAATTATATAACAGCATTGTGGCAACACTTGTATGTTGGCATTCTTATTTTTATATTTGTATACTATGCGTATTTAATCTGAACTCACAACTGAGGCACCAGTTGCAAACATTTCATCTTAGGCACAATGGCTCATTTGTTTGAACACATGTTGCCAGTTGACACAACTTTCTGTATGAATATTTTGTTTCTCAATTGAATTTGTAGGTTGTTTATGTTCTTGGTTTTTTACGAATACTTTATGTTCAATTTTATCAACACATCCAAGGAAGAAGGGGTGGAAGGACGCTTTGATGCAGGCTAGGGACATGGATATGATGCAAGAAAGCAACAATACTTTTATTAATTATTTAATAGATGTTTTAGTTAAATTAGAATTGCTTAATAGTTGGTGATCTTAATTTTTTAGGTTTTAGTTATTTGATTTAATTAGAAGTCTTGTCAATCATTGTGTGTACTTTGAGGTGACGATTAGATTGTGTGTATTAATATATTTGATACCATTTCTAAGAGCATCCACACTAAGGGGATAATGTGGGGAGCATGTCAGATGAAATCTTCTTGTTCAAGTTCAAAGCTAATGTAGGGAAGATTTATTTGGGGAAGAATGCCTTTGCAAAATTGGAGATAATGGCAGAAAAAGAAGAAAAAGAAAGAAAAGAAAAAGGGGCTGCTGTGCGCGTTTCGCGCACAGCAACCCGCCCACACGGGCGCGTCAGGTGCGCCTGACCCTTTTGTTTTTTTTTTTTATTATTTTTTTAGTTTTTTAATTTTTGATTTTGATTTTTTTATTTTTTTTCCTCCACTTCCCACATTCTCTCTCCTAATCACTCTTACATTATCCCCCAATTCTCCATAACCATTGTGGATGCTCTAACGATGTAACACTTTACAATGCTGTATTTTTGTTATTGGTATTGAGTTTGAAAGTCTTAAAAAAATATATTTTGCAATTATATTATTCAAATACTATATTATAGGTTTAATATAGGTATGAGATAATAATTAGATGCACATTTTTTTAGAAAATTTAAAATTTAACGACAAGACAAAAATCATAGCAAATTTGTAGCCAAATACCTTCTAACAATAAAGAATGGTAACGAAATAGGGATGGAAATAACCGTTGCTAAATTTAGCGACGGATATTTCCGTCTCTAATCTGTAGTTAAATAGCATTCATTGTAAACAATAGAAACAAACTAGCGACGGAAAATTCCATCGCTAAACTTAGCGACGGAAAATTTCGTTGCTATTCTCTCGCAAAATTCATTGTTCAAATCGTCGCGGGGAGGAAATATCGATGAATATTTTTAGTTTAGCGACGGAAAAAGTCGTCGCTAAACTTAACGACGGAATTAGACTTCGTCGCAAGTGAATAGCGACGCCACTTTTTGTGACGGACCGAATCCGTCGCTATTCAATTTAGCGACGGATTTTTCACTTTTTAACGACGGAATTGTCAGTCGTTATTTCCACGCTTTTTTGTAGTGCAAGACCATTGTTATCACTTCTAAATTATGCATAAATAAGTGATCAACATAAACTATAACAAATTCAAAACCTGAATAGATATCTAAGAGTATCATCAACCTGTTGTTCCATCAAACATAATAATTCATGCATGTATAGCAGAGTTAACCGTTATACAAGGACTTTACCAGTATGCCCATCTTTCCAACATGGCCAATGAAGGTCATGGGCGCCAATTCCTTAATCAACGGATCCGTGATCATAAGATCGGTGCCAATATGCACTATTGATACTCTTTGATTTTGTACCTTCTCCTTAACAGACAGAAATTTCAAATCAATGTGTTTGGCACCTCTAGTTTATCTGTCGTTCTTTGAGAATAACATAGCTGTCGTATTATTACAATGAATCATCAATGGTTTGGCTATAGTGTCGACAATGCCCAAACCAGATATGAAATTACGCAGCCATGATGATCGAATTCTAGCCTCAAAGCATGCTACAAATTCTGCCTCCATAGTGGAAGTAGCAATGACAGGCTCCTTCGCACTCATCCAAGATATTGCTCCATGAGCAAGTGGAAAAAAATATATTCGGATGTGGATTTTCGGGTATCCAAACATCCGGCATAGTCTGAATTCAAATAACCTATAACCTCCAGGTTATTCCTTCCTTTTATAAGTGAGCATGTGGTCCTTAGTGCCTTGCAAGTATCATAGGACCCTCTTTGCAGTTTTCCAGTGTATATCTTTCTAAAACTTTGTTAATGTGAGCTTGCTTCTAGGATAAACCTAAAATTCCATGTGATCTATCACGAAATATTTCTTATTCCAATCGCATATGAAGTCTCATCCATATCATTCATTCCAAAGTTCTTAAAAAGATATTCCTTAACACCACGCAACATCCCTTTATCATTAGCAGCTAGAAGAATGTCGTCAACATGTAATACTAGGATTACAAACTTGCTTCTATTAATCCTTCATGTAGATACACCGATCAATAGTGATCTCTACAAAACCAAATGACAATTTCAAATACCATTGTCTAGAAGCATGGTTTCCATAGATCGACTTCTTCAATCTATATACCAGATTTTCCTTTCATGTGGTCATGAAGCTTTGCGGCTGGTCCATGTACACTTCCTCTTTTAATTTACCATTCAGAAAGGCAATTTTAATAGCCATTTAGTGGAGCTCAAGATTAGAATGAGCCACCAAAGCCAAAATAATTCTCAAGGAGAATTACTATCCTGTATGGCTTGGTTAAACGAGACCGGATTATTATTAATGCTCAAGTCACTTTCATGCTCAAGTGCACAAACAATATAGTCATCAGGAATGACTGATCTTTTCTGTCTAGTAGATCTCCTTCATGCCACTTCCTATTAAGGTTGCACTTAATCATCAGCTTAAGTTTCAACCCCATCTTCATTCACAATAGCTTCCTTATGTGGAATTGGAGCATCTAGTTGCTGTTGTTCCAAAGTATTTCCATAAGGCTACACTGCAGCAATAGGAACAACAACAGGAAAAATGATCACTTGATGAATCTAGATCCATCAATGACTCCTTAATCTCAACATTACGAGCTCCGACACTCCCACGGACTTCGCCATTTTAAATGAAGTGAGCATTACCAGACTCAACAATCCTCGTACTTATGATTAGGACAATAAACATGTACCCTTTAGACCTTTCTAGCTATCCAATGAAATAACCATTAATGGTTTTGGAATCCAATTTATTTCATTTGGATTATATATATCCTCACTTTAGCTTGATAGCCCCAACTGTGAAGATGCCTCAAACTAGATTTCCTTCTTGTGCATAGTTCATAAGGTGTTTAAAAAAAAAGCCTTACTAGGAACCCTATTGAGTAAGTATGTCGTTGTCCTTAATGCATATATCCACAATGAAATAGACAATGTACAGTTATTGACCATACTCCTAACCATTTACCTTAAAGTACGATTTCGCCTTTCTGCCACACCATTTTGTTGTGGTGTTCTTGGCATTGTGTATTGCTCACAGATGACCTTAGATTCAAGGAATTTCTTAAATGGGCCGGGAATTTGCCCAACTTCTTATGTTTTCCCATAATACTCACCACCTCTGTCTAATCTAATTGTCTTTACCTTTTTATTTAACTGCCTCTCAACTTAAATATGAATGTCTCTAGGACACTCACAAACTGAGATCTTTCATGCAGTAAATAGATGTAACAGTACCCAAAATGATCATCAATAAAGGTAATAAAGTATTTATCACTGCCCCAAGACGGAACATCAAAAAAATGACCACTGATACATGTCTGACTTGCTTTTACCTTTATGCAATCGACACATGCATCATTCCCGTCAGTAAAATCCAATTGAGACAAAATTCCAACCTTAATAAGTCTCAATATCCTTTCTTTGGATATATGACAAAGCCTTTTATGCCACAAGTCAGCTGACAATTCTTTTGGTGCACTCCTTTATTTTAAAACAAATATCACTCATAACATTAAACAAGGAATTAACAAAGTCATCATTAAGATTTAAACAGAATAGTGCATCCAACAAAACACCAGAACTATAAAAGGTCTTTGTTGATACGAACATTTGTCTCCAATCTTAAAGTAAAACCCAATGTTTCCAACCTAGCTGTTGAAACGAGATTTCTAGAACATTTTGGAACATACAGATAATTCTCAAGATCAAGGCAAAAGCTTGTATCCAGCTTAATTTTGTAAGTTCCAATACCTTTAATTCTAGCTTTCATCTTGTTTCTCATGAAAAGAAACTTTTCATTTTCCCTCTTGAGGTTTAAACATCATAAAACCTTGCATAATGTTAGAAATATGTGTTGTAGTACCAGTGTCTAACCACCAAGTAATAGAAAGAACCTCAATAAGATTGGATTCAAAGCATACTAAAACTGAATGTAGCGTATACTTTTCTTTTCCATCCAAGCTACTCTCTTCAGGCATTCAGCCTTCTTGTGCACAGGTTTGTTACAGAAATAGCATTTCTGCACTTTCTGAACAACACCTTGCACCTTCATAGGATGTTTGTCCTTCTTTATTACTTTTAGACTTGCTGCTATTATCACTGACATCAGAACTGTCACCATTATAGCGTGATACGCTAGTGTTCACTACAAACATTTATCTCACATATCAATTGCTTTGAATAACAAACCTTTATTCAGACTATAATTTATAGACCTTAAGTTTGCATTTAAATCCGCCTTTGGGTCAAATTTAAATACAATGTCAATTTACCGGCATGCATCATTCACACATACTTAAATGAGACTATTCATCAAGTTTCAATTTAATATATAGGCCATCTTTGGACATGCACTACATATTAACAAAACAAGAATTATAATCTCCTAAATTGTCATTAATCACAGTCTGATATACCTTTGGGCAACTGCTAAAACCATGTGTTAATGATCACAAATGCTTATCAATCATTTAGTGTCATTCAATGATGCAAAATACATGTGTACGATAAACATTTGAAAACATAAATAATTATTTAGCTATTTCCTTGAGTGGGTCACTTTGGTGACTAACACACTCGCCTTATACTAATAATTTATTTATATAAATAAACCTTAATTTATGTTGTAATATAAACATAAATGATTATTTAGCTATTACCATGAGTGGGCCGCTTTGGCGACTAACACACTCGCCTTATGCTAAAAATTTCTTTATGTAAGTAAACATTAATTTATATATATGTTGTAAACATAAACATAAATCATTATTTAGCTATTACCATGAATGGACCGCTTTAGCGACTAACACACT